CTTGCAAAATGTCAAAAAAAGAGGGTTTGTAGATTTAATGGCAATAGAGTTTGATAACGGAGTCAGCGCCTGCAGTGAATAGCCATGGTTGTGTCGGATGAAACTTGCAGTCCAAGACTCCTGCAATCAATCAAAACCCATAATAAATTAATCTCTTGAAGAATGAAAACATGACGCAACATAGTAAGTGATTAAAAAACTGACCTCCCCCATTTGAACAAGTAGAATGGCCTCTTAGAATCTCCAACGGTACAATCAGAGGATTCTCGTTCAAATCATTATACACCTTTCCATGGAACACATAACCTGTTGAGTCCTCCGAGGACGAAGCAAACAACGGATACCAACGGTGAAACGCGACGTTCGTGATGTCCTTGGGATGATTCTTGAGAGTCTTGTATGGTTTCGAAGACAGATCCATGTCAAACCAACACATCTTCCCTTCTTTGCTTCCGACTATCAGATTATCACCACCAGGATGAATCGCCATTGATGAGATTTCTCTCATTCCAGTCTCTAGCTTTTTGGCTCGCTCCTCTGCCTTCAACAGGTTGAAAACACGCACCTTCTTTCTTGTCGCGATGAACAAGTATGAACGGCTGGGATGAAAAAGTGCAGTCACGGGAAGTCCACGGATCTTGAATGGCTTTTGGGTAAGCTTTTTTGAGATTTGATGAATTACAACACCTCGAGTTTCTCCCGATGCCATCACTTGCAATTGCTGCAACTATGGTGCAAAATTTACAAAAAGAGATTTAATCATTCATCTCAATTTCTGACTAACGTGTTGGTGGCTACTCTGAGACACTTACCAGATGCTTTTGGTTCTGGAAGATTTCCTAAGTGAAGCAGCTCTTTAATTTTTTGCTGTTCCTCATCAGTACCAAGTTCAGTGTTGAGGATAACTAAATCTGGTCCCCTGCAAATGTGACATGTGATGGTTGTTACATAACCAGAAGTTTTAATGAATCAGAGAAAACAAAGTCCCAAGATCCAAACTCACATTGCAACAGCTAAAATGGAAAAGTCGGGAAGAGGATTCCAAGCCACACACTTAATAGCTTCATCAAACTGCCAGATATGAAGGCATCTACCAGTTTCCACTTCCCATATACGAACAGATCCATCACTTGAACCTTTCAAGAGAGAAAAAAAAGATTGGCATCTTGGAAGAAGAAAATAAGGGCTCAATAAAACAGAAGAATGAAATACCTGAGGCTATCCACTGGCCAGAGCAATCAGTGGATATGGTAGTAACAGTTCCTGTATGGCCTTTATATTCAAGATAACATGAGTTTGGATAAGGTCTAAGATCTTTCCTACTAGGTAGCTTAGGCTTCAAAGATTCAGGATCAATGTTTATCTGGAGAAAGGAAACACACTGTGAGATAAAATACAGAAAAAAGTAAACCAAAAAATGAGATGATCAGATTAGTCCTCACTCTCTTCTTTCGAACTCTTGGACATAGGTATAGATCCAAACAACGGTCAAAAGACTCTTTTAGAGCATTCTCATATGCTGGGATGCTTCTCAGAGATGTAAACCTACGCACACATATATTTAGCATAAGGCTAAAGCTAACAACAAAAAAATTCCAAATAAAAATACCTTTTACATACCTTGTAGGAATGAATTTTGGACGATCTTCCTCAAACATCAATTCATAAGAGGCTTTCTCTTCCTCGGTTGGAATGTATTCCAAAGATGGATTGTATGATTCCTCGTGTCCTGGGAAGCCAAAATTACAGACCTTAAGAAAATGCAATTCAAAGACAGAAGCAGCAAAAAGTCGGTACCTGGCAACTTTAGTTTGGGTGGAGGAATATAAGTTAAGTGTTTGTTCTTCTTTGAATCATCACTCCATAAAAGGTACACATTGAGCTCTTCTTCAGGCTTATCAAACTTGATCAACCCCTTCCTGATTGCTCTAACATACTTAACGACCTTTTTGGCCTCCCATTTTGAAGGGATGAACCTTCGCTTGGTTTCTGGTGCACTTGAGAGTGGGTGTATTGGATCAGCCCATTTGAACCAATCGACATAAGCCTTGCACCAAGAGAGTCAATAGAAAAGGTCACATTTTGAAGTGACTAGTGTAGAAAAACACAAGCCACATAGGTACATACCGGATATGGATCAAAGTCAGCATGTGGCGCTTTCCTTTTGAGCAGTCTACGAATGAGCTTCCTCTCCTCTTTAGTCAGCTCCACTTGCTCGTCATTATATTCATCAAAAATTTTGGACCTAAAGCCCCAGAAATCGCATCAGGCTACTAAATAACGAACTATAATAAATACCAATAAACAGAAAAGTGTTTAGACTGACCAATTCTGGGAGTCATCCATAGTATCAAGAAAAGAGGAAAGTATGTCTTGTCTTTGTTTCTTGATAATCATCTTCCCAGTGATGTCATAACCAATATGTTTCTCATCCTCATACCATTTAGAGGGAACATCACCAACTGTATTTCTCGGAGCAACCTACAGATTAAAGATAAATTAATGGACGTTTGAAAATATCTATAATGAATAGATAAAACATGGACCTCATCTTCTGAAGAATCGCTCTCTTCGGCGGCTTCACCTTGCTCGTCACTCCCATCTTCCTCACCATCAGAGCCCTCATGACCTATACCAGTAGATGCCGGCACAGTTACTCACAAATTCCTTTCACATATTAGAGCTACAAACCCCATACATATTCAACAAGACAACCCTAAAGAGATATTATTGATTAAGGTTCTAATCAAGAGCATGAACCATAAAAAAAAACTCAAATTAAAAACCAGAGGAAAAGCACAAGCAAGCAAGCAATTACCATCGACTTCGTCCTCTAATAATGATTTTCCATTGGAATCCAGTAGCAGGCCTTCCTCTTTCACTACTGGTTTCTGTTTATGAGAGACGCTCTTTCTCCTTCTTTTTCCATCTCCATATTCCGGTGAACCATCATCATTGGACAAACTCTACAGAAGACAAAATCCAGAAAGATGAACAAAATGCACAATAATAAACTAAAATAAAAAGCTCCACGAAAGACAAGGAGAATACATCGGAATCCTTCTGAGATTTTACAGAGACGCTCTTTCTCTTTCTTTCTCCCATTTTATCCTCGTGAGCTCTTCAGACTAAGAACCTCCTTCTAAGCGGCAGGAATGCGCAACAAGAAAATTTAGGGTTTGGGAAGTCGTCGTGCTTTTATTGACCTTGTATAATTAATATTATTGATCTTGTATAAATATTATTGGGCTTTGAAAGTTTGATCCTTTTTAGTAACCGTTACGTCGAAAGTTGGACATAAAATGCTATTAAAATGCATAAAGTTTGTGTTGGACATTATTTTTTTAATTCATTTTAAAGATAACCAATTTTTTTGTTTTTTGTAACATTTATATTTTTTCCCACGGTTATTGTTACGCTATTTCTTCAATACCTTCATCTATTACCGGTAACTACCACACATGTTTTTTTAATACTTTTTGTTAATATTATTTTTGAAGAAAATATTTTAAATTAAGGAGAATTAGAGAAACCAAATATATACTGAAAGGATATTAAACTCTACATGAGAATCTAAACCCTAATATGAAACCTAAATTCTTAGAAATGCACGTAAAGATTGAAAACAATATAAAGACCCTCAACCCTAAACTTTAGCATCAAAACTTAAATCAAAATACAAACTCGTAATAGTTTATCTTTTTTAGTAACCGTACGTCATCAAAAGGTAAAGTCATAAGCCTTTTTGTGTTGGATTTGTAATGCCATTTCTCTGGTATAACATAAAATGTATAAAATTTTGTTAAGAAGTCACCGAATTCCCATGGAAATATATTCTAAAAAAGAAAAAAAAAATTATGGCCTAGATATTTATGCTACTTGCAATCCCATATAATTCATGTGTTATTCAATTTTTCTGTAACTTTTATTGTGTTAGATTTCATAGGAATTTAATAGAGTTCTAGGAGAAAAATGAGAAGGGTGAATTCCCACTACTTTTGTTGAGATTTTATTGAAAACATGTTAATTCTTCCACAATACTTTAAAATCAATTCTTTTATAATCTCACGTTCAATACCACCTCCTAAGTTAGCATCTATTGTTCATGATCCCACTAATATCAGTAGAGCCTATGTACATGTTTCTTAATTAGCTTAGCCTCGAATTTTA